CTGCATGAAACCTATAAATGTGGAAGGAAAAGAAGAAGAAAATTAGGTAAAGAACCCAAAGTAAATAAAGAAGTAACAGACAGAAAAAGGAAGAACTCTCATCAATGTGGTTATAAAATACACAGAAAGGTGGTAACACATCTGAATTTGTATTATTCTCAATTTGAAAAGTGAGACAGGAAATTAGTTTTCTTAATTCCTTAAAAGGAAATAAAATACTCAGATTAAACATGAATTACTGTATTTTTCCTTAAACTTTTTTTAATATTAAAAACTTTTCTCTGGAGCCTTGATTGATTTAAAAATCTTTTTCTCTTTCATTAAGTGTTTTAAAAATTCTTCTGATTTGTCTTGGTCTTATATGAATATATTTGAATATTTAATGTTTGCCATGACTTTCCTGGCATTTTTATTATTCATCATAGCATGTCCCTGAATAATGTTTCCCTTATTCTTTATATAATTTCTTTATGGGATGTGGGAAAAGTAGACAAGGAGGCATAAAGATTGAATTTCACATCCTTTGCCCTATTTTACCCATTTTTACACTGATCTCAATTTTTAAAGCCAGAGTCTATATATGCAATATAAATGGCAACATGAAACATAAAATAATTTAGCAGACCGTGTAAGCTGTTTATTAAAACAAATTTATTACATAGACTATAGCAATTAATGCCAATTTTGTTAAGGGGCACAACCCATATATAAAAGTTATTTTATGCATGGCTTGGAAATTGCTTATACACCTACATTCTGGAACAAATCCGAAGGCATTACTTTATCTACCTGAAGCTATACTACAATGTTACAGTAACCAAAACAGCATGGTACTGGCACAAGAGCAGAGACATAGACCAATGGATCAGAACAGAGAACCCAGATATAAAACCACCCTCATATTTCCATCTGATCTTTGACAAAGCAGACAATAATATACACTGGGCAAAAGAATCCATATTCAATAAATGGTGCCGGGAAAATTGGATAGCCACATGAGGAAGACTGATCCAGGATCCACACTGCTCAC